TGCAGAGCTACTGCAAACTGATTTTGTTTCTCCTTGTTTGATACTATCAGTGATAATTCTAATAATAGAGATAAGGAAATTAGTACATCAGCTTTTACAACTCAACTAATTAACAAATGAATCAGCAAAAATAATAATAAACAGAACAAAATTAAATACTATAGACAATCATCCACTAACTAATTATTGACAATATTTATCTCTAATGTAACTAGCAATAGATTTCTCTTGTATTGTATCCAGTGCTGTAGCTAATGATGACCAACTGGGACCTCCTTTCTCTCTCACTTTATCTTCTCCTCTTAACCAGGCAGACATACACTGTCTGAAGCACTTCTTAGAGTCTCCATTATTATCTTCATTGATGTCTTCTAGTGTAGGCTGATAGAGTCCTAGCTGAAGACCAAGCTCATGCCATATATGGCAAGGTAAATGATTGAGTATTGTTAGCTCTTTAATGACAATATCAAGATCTTTAATATCTATAAAATTAATAATTAATAATGTGTATATACACTGTACAGTCTACACTCCCACTACTTGACAATTGTGTACATATTATAACATACCTAGCTTTATTGGAGTCAATGGTGTCTTGAATTCTTCAGTTATTTCAATCACTTCCTATACAATAATAATAATAATAATAACTGATATTTATCACTGTGCTTGTTATCAAGGTGATATACATCAGTAGTGTATTGCTGAAAGGTGAGTTTAACAGATGTACTAGTATATATTATTAGTAGTAAAAGCCACACAATGACAACCCACAATTATGACAAAGACAGAGTAATTGATAAGAAAGATTTAAACCATTCATGAATAATTCTGTTTGATGTTAATGATATGAATGAGGTGTCCAAATGCTATGGAGACTGCTACATGGAAGCCATTCAACAGAACACCACAAGTGTACATTTGATTGAGCCTAATTAACCACTTGTAATAACTATGTCCCCATGAATATGTTTAAAACAGATAAACACCTCCTATGAGGCGTTTATCCATTATATGACCTTTTGATTATTAGTGCTTGTATTAATGTATCAAACAGTTTGTGTG